ATAGTGAACGTCTAGTTAAGGTTAGTTTAGTGTGGTGTATAGAACGTATCTAGTTAAGGTTAGGTTAGTGTGGTGTATAGTGAACGTATCTAGTTAAGGTTAGGTTAGTGTGGTATAGTGAACGTGTCTAGTTAAGGTTAGTTTAGTGTGGTGTATAGTGAACGTATCTAGTTAAGGTTGAGGTTAGTGTGGTGTATAGTGAACGTATCTAGTTAAGGTTAGGGTTAGTGTGGTGGAAGTGAACGTATCTAGTTAAGGTTAGGTTAGTGTGTATAGTGAACGTGTCTAGTTAAGGTTAGGTTAGTGTGGTGTATAGTGAACGTATCTAGTTAAGGTTAGGTTAGTGTGTATAGTGAACGTATCTAGTTAAGGTTAGGGTTAGTGTGGTGTATAGTGAACGTATCAGTTGGTTAGGTTAGTGTGGTGTATAGTGAACGTCTAGTCAAGGTTAGGTTAGTGTGGTGTATAGTGAACGTATCTAGTTAATGTTAGGTTAGTGTGGTGTATAGTGAACGTATCTAGTTAAGGTTAGGTTAGTGTGGTGTATAGTGAACGTATTCAGGTTAGGTTAGTGTGGTGTATAGTGAACGTATCTAGTTGTAGGTTGTGTTAGGTTAGGGTTAGGTAGGTTAGTGTGTGGTTAATACTCATCCTCTAACACTTCGCCAGAGAGATTAACTTAACACCAGAGTACCCTAACTGTCTGGCTTATATTGTTGTTGTTGTTGTTTCATTACTGTTGTTGTTTTTTGTTATTGTTGTTGTTGTTGTTGTTTTTGTTATTGTTGTTGTTGTTGTTGTTGTTATTGTTTATTGTTGTTGTTTTTGTATTGTTGTTGTTGTTGTTGTTATTGTTGTTTTTTTTGTTATTGTTGTTGTTGTTGTTGTTGTTATTGTTGTTGTTTTTTGTTATTGTTGTTGTTTTGCTTGTTCTTTTATACACATATCTTTGCCCCAAGAACTATCAATAATAATAACAACAACGACAACAAATTAATAATAATAAAATAATAATAATAAATTAATAATAATAATAATAATGATGATAATGAGCAATATTCACCCTAAAAACCTTTGAACATTAAGCCTGTGGCAGATGTTTCCGACTAGTGTACCAAAGAGAGAGAGAGAGAGAGAGGAGACTACCTGACCCAATGATAATTTTCCCTTGTGACGAAGTGGTGTGTGTGTGTGTTTAGTAGGTTTGTGTGTGTGTGTGTGTGTAGCCGTGGAATTCAAACACACACACACACACACACACACACACACACACACATTCAATACAGATCTCGCTCGCATTACAATTTTCACACTGTTCACACACGGCTATCACCCTTTAAGAGCCCTGCTCACGCTATGTGTAAACTGTGGTGTTAGCTGGTCCCTGTTATAGCTGGGTCTGTGTTGGCTGGGTCTCGTTATAGCTGGGTCCTGTTGGCTGGGTCTCGTGATGGCTGGGTCTCGTGTTAGCTGGGTCTCGTGGGCTGGGTCTCGTGATGGCTGGGTCTAGTCTGTGTTAGCTGGGTCTCGTGTTAGCTGGGTCTCGTGTTAGCTGGGTCTCGTGATGGCTGCTGTTAGCTGGCTCTGTGTTAGCTGGGTCTGGCTTTGTTGTGTTAGCTGGGTCTCGTGTTAGCTGGGCCTGTGTTGCTGGGTCTCGTGTTGGCTGGGTCTCGTGTTAGCTGGTCCTCGTGTTGGCTGGGTCTCGTGTTAGGCTGGGTCTCGTTGGCTGGGTCTCGGTTAGCTGGGTCTCGTGATGGCTGGGTCTCGGGGTCTGTGTTAGCTGGGTCTCGTGTTGGCTGGTCTCGTGATGGCTGGGTCTCGTGTTAGCTGGGTCTCTGTGTTAGCTGGGTCTCGTGTTGGCTGGGTCTCGTGTTGGCTGGGTCTCGTGTTAGCTGGGTCTCGTGTTGGCTGGGTCTCGTGTTAGCTGGGTCTCGTGTTGGCTGGGTGTCGTGTTGGCTGGGTCTCGTGTTGGGTCTCGTGTTAGCTGGGTCTGGTGTTGGCTGGGTCTCGTGTTAGCTGGTCTCGTGTTGGCTGGGTCTCGTGTTAGCTGGGTCTCGTGTTGCAGGGCTGATGTCTGGTCTCGTGTTAGCTGGGTCCGTGTTAGCTGGGTCTCGTGTGTGTTGGCTGGGTCTGTGCTCCTGTGTTAGCTGGTCTCGTGTTGGCTGGGGTCTGGCTGGGTCTCTGTGTTAGCTGGGTCTCGTGTTGGCTGGGTCTCGTGTTAGCTGGGTCTGGTGTTGGCTGGGTCCTGTGTTGTCTGTCCGTTGGCTGGGTCTCAGGCTGGGTCCGTGTTAGTGGTCCCTGTTTGGCTCTCTGTTCTGGCCCGTGTTAGCTGGGTCTCGTGTTGGCTGGGTCTCGTGTTGGCTGGGTCTCGTTAGCTGGGTCTCGTGTTGGCTGGGTCTCGTGTTAGCTGGGTCTCGTGTTGGCTGGGTCTCGTGATGGCTGGGTCTCGTGTTAGCTGGGTCTCGTGTTAGGGGTCTCGTGATGGCTGGGTCTCGTGTTGGCTGGGTCTCGTGATGGCTACTGTGCGTTTGTCCGGATTCACCGATACTCGATACTGAGCCGGAACCACAGGGGGTGAGGGAGGGAAGGAGATGATGTGGGGAGAAGGGAAGAGTAGAGGGAGGAGAAAGAGAGAGGGAAGAGTGGAGATAGGAGGAGAGAGAGAGAGAGAGAGAGAGAGAGAGAGAGAGAGAGAGAGAGAGAGAGAGAGAGAGAGTGTGTGTGTGTGTGTCTGAGATGAGACGAAAACACTATTGTTGTTGTTATTATCATCATTATCATCATTATCATCATCATCATCATCATCATTATCATCATCATCATCATCATCATCATTATCATCATCATCATCATCATCATCATCATCATCATCATCATCATTATCATCATCATTATCATTATCATTGTATCAGTAAATAAACAGATTTTGTCCACCTATAAAATAACCTTATTATTATTGTTATTTTTTTTATATGTGTATATTTTGGGTGTGACGGTATTACACACTTACACACACTTACACACACTTACACACACTTACACACACACACACTTACACACACACACACAGGTGCATTATGTATTCATGTAGTAATTAAACCTAGTTGGGTATGCATGGCTGGGTGGTCTGGGGTGAGCCTAGAGGAGGGAAGGGAGGTGAGGTGGAGGGAAGGAAGGGAGGGGAGATGAGGGGAAGGAGGGGAGGTGAGGGAAGGAAGGGAGGTGAGGGGAAGGAGGTGGGGGGAGGTGAGGGAAGGAAGGAAGGGAAGGAAGGGAGGTGGAGGGAGGGAGGTGAGGTGAGGGAAGGAAGGTGAGGGAAGGAAGAGAGGTGGGGGGGAGGGTGGGGTGAGGGGGGAAGGGGAGGTGAGGAGGGGAGGTGAGTGAGGGAGAGGTGGGGAAGGAGGGTGAGGGGAAGGAAGGGAGGTGAGGGGAGGGAGGTGAGGTGAGGGGAGGGAGGGGAGAAGTGGAGGAGAAATAGTATTGTGTCAGAAATTAATGTCTTCAGTCTTTGTTCTTCCTCCTCCTCCTCCCTCCCTTGTCTTCTTCCTCCTGTCTTTTCCTCCTGTCTTCTTCCTCCTGTCTTCTTCCTCCTGTCTTCTTCCCTCCTGTCGTCTCTCCTCCTGTCTTCTTCCTCCTGTCTTCTTCCTCCTGTCTTCTTCCTCCTGTCTCTTCCCTCCTCCTGTCGTCTTCTCCCTCCTGTCTTCTTCCTCCTGTCTTCTCCTCCCTCCTGTCTTCTTCCTCCTGTCTTCCTCCTCCTGTCTTCCTCCTCCTCCTCTTTGACTTTCCCTTCTCATTCCTCCTTTACCACTTCTGATATGTTCTTGTTTTTCTCCTCTCCTCCCCTTCACCTCCTCTTTTCCTTTCTCCTCCCCTTCCATTGTCTCCTCTTTTCTCCTCATTTATTGCATTTTACTCATTATCTCTGTTCCTCTCCCTCTCTCTCTCTGCCCTGTGGTATTTCCCTCCTCCTCCTCCTCCCTCCCTCTTCCTCCTCCTCCTCTTCTCCTCCTCCTCCCTCCTCCCTCCTCCCTCCCTCCTCCTCCTCCTCCTCCTCCTCCTCCTCCTCCTCCCTCCTCCTCCTCCTCGTCCTCCCTCCCTCCTCCTCCTCCTCCTCCTCCTCCCTCCTCCCTCTTCCTCAAACAGTCTCACCACTTCATCCCCTCATCTCTTCCCTTGTCCTGTCCTGGCAACACAACACAACACCCACCTTTAACTGCATCCCTTCCCATCCCACCCCTCCCTTCCCATCCTCCTCCCTTCCCATCCCACCCCTCCCTTCCCATCCCCCTCCCTTCCCATCCCACCCCTCCCTTCCCATCCTCCCCTCCCTTCCCATCCCCCCCCTCCCTTCCCATCCCCCTCCCTTCCCATCCCACCCCCCATACCTCCACCTTCCCCTCCCTCATGCTTCCCCACCCTACCCAACCTTACCTATCCTCCTCCCTCCCCTCCTCCTCCTTCCCTCCTCCCTCTCCCTCCCTCCCTCTCCCTCCCTCTCTCCCTCCCTCCTCCCTCTTCCCTTTCCTCTTTGTACCTCCGCTTTATATAAATATACGCACCAGTAAGAGTATCCATAACACACACACACACTCTCTCTCTCTCTCTCTCTCTTTTCCATTGCAGTTTCTCCCCATCTCTCTTCCTATCCTCCCTCCCATTCCTTTCCTCCTCTTTCTTTCCATTCCCCTTCAACCTCCCATTTTCCCCATACTTTTCCATCCCTTCACCCCTCCTTCACCCTCCCTTCACCCTCCTTCACCTTCTCCCTCCCTTCACCCCTCCCTCCCCACCCTCCCTCCCCCACCCCCCTCCCTCCCCCACCCCCTCCCTCCCCCTCTGTACTGGTGGTCGTAGTGTTATATCCGTTGTTGACTGTTATGGTTGGTGAGCCTTGACCGTTGTTGACTGTTACGGTTGGTGAGCCTTGACCGTTGTTGATTATGGTTGGTGAGTCTTGACCGTTGTTGACTGTTACGGTTGGTGATCTTGACCGTTGTTCGTTATGGTTGGTGAGTCTGACCGCTGTTGACTGTTACGGTTGGTGAGTCTTGACCGTTGTTGACTGTTACGGCTGGTGAGTCTTGACCGTTGTTGACTGTTACGGTTGGTGAGCCTTGACCGTTGTTGACTGTTACGGTTGGTGAGTCTTGACCGTTGTTGACTGTTACGGTTGGTGAGTCTTGACCGTTGTTGACTGTTATGGTTGGTGAGCCTTGACCGTTGTGACTGTTATGGTTGATGAGTCTTGACCGTTGTTGACTGTTACGGTTGGTGAGCCTTGACCGTTGTTGACTGTTATGGTTGGTGAGTCTTGACCGCTGTTGACTGTTATGGTTGGTGAGTCTTGACCGTTGTTGTACTGTATGGTTGGTGAGTCTTGACCGTTGTTGACTGTTATGGTTGGTGAGCCTTGACCGTTGTTGACTGTTACGGTTGGTGAGCCTTGACCGTTGTTGACTGTTATGGTTGGTGAGTCTTGACCGTTGTTGAGTACGGTTGGTGAGTCTTGACCGTTGTTGACTGTTATGTTGGTGAGTCTTGACCGCTGTTGACTGTTTGGTTGGTGAGTCTTGACCGTTGTTGACTGTTATGGTTGGTGAGTCTTGACCGTTGTTGACTGCGGTTGGTGAGCCTTGACCGTTGTTGACTGTTACGGTTGGTGAGTCTTGACCGTTGTTGACTGTTACGGTTGGTGAGTCTTGACCGTTGTTGGACTGTTACGGTTGGTGAGCCTTGACCGTTGCTGATGTTACGGTTGGTGAGTCTTGACCGTTGTTGACTGTTACGGTTGGTGAGTCTTGACCGTTGACTGTTATGGTTGGTGAGCCTGACCGTTGTTGACTGTTATGGTTGATGAGTCTTGACCGTTGTTGACTGTTACGGTTGGTGAGTCTTGACCGTTGTTGACTGTTATGGTTGGTGAGTCTTGACCGTTGTTGACTGTTATGGTTGATGAGTCTTGACCGTTGTTGACTGTTATGGTTGGTGAGTCTTGACCGTTGTTGATTGTTACGGTTGGTGAGTCTTGACCGTTGTTGACTGTTTGGTTGGTGAGTCTTGACCGCAGTTGACTGTTATGGTTGGTGAGTCTTGACCGTTGTTGACTGTTATGCTGGTGAGTATTGACCGTTGTTGACTGTTATGGTTGGTGAGTCTTGACCGTTGTTGACTGTTACGGTTGGTGAGCCTGACCGTTGTTGACTGTTATGGTTGGTGAGTCTTGACCGTTGTTGACTGTTACGGTTGGTGAGTCTTGACCGTTGTTGACTGTTATGGTTGGTGAGTCTTGACCGTTGTTGACTGTTATGGTTGGTGAGCCTTGACCGTTGTTGACTGTTATGGTTGGTGAGTCTTGACCGTTGTTGACTGTTATGGTTGGTGAGTCTTGACCGTTGTTGAGTCTTGACCGTTGTTGACTGTTATGGTTGGTGAGTCTTGACCGTTGTTGACTGTTACGGTTGGTGAGTCTTGACCGTTGTTGACTGTTATGGTTGGTGAGTCTTGACCGTTGTTGACTGTTATGGTTGGTGAGTCTTGACCGTTGTTGATTATGGTTGGTGAGTCTTGACCGTTGTTGACTGTTATGGTTGGTGAGTCTTGACTGTTGTTGACTGTTACGGTTGGTGAGTCTTGACCGTTGTTGACTGTTATGGTTGGTGAGTCTTGACCGTTGTTGACTGTTGCTGGTGAGCCTTGACCGTTGTTGACTGTTATTGGCATTTGTGGGATGCTGACATGGTGTTGGACGGGTGGTGTGGGGCAGGGTGGGGTGGGGCAGGGTTAGACGTGGGGGCGGGTGGGGCGGTCACTGGGCGAGATGGGGTGGGGCAGGGCATATCAGGGGAGGGAGGAAGGGAGGAGGATCCCTAAATGGCAGCCAGCAATGAACACCCGCTAGAGTAATGGGTCCAAAACTACGCCTGTGAGGAAGCAAAATATATATATTAAATACGTCAATACGCCAGGAAATACGTCAATACGCCAGAAATACGTCAATATACCAGGGAACACGCCAATGCACCACACCAAACGGCTAGTAAGCTGATAAGTGGCGAATATGATAAAAACACGCCAAGACGCCACAAAACACGCCAGGACACCACAAAACACGCCAGGACGCCACAAAACACGCCAAGACACCACAAAACACGCCAGGACGCCAAAAACACGCCAAGACGCCACAAAACACGCCATGACACCACAAAACACGCCAGGACGCCACAAAACACGCCAAGACGCCACAAAACACGCCAAGACGCCACAAAACACGCCGACGCCACAAAACACGCCAAGACGCCACAAAACACGCCAGGACGACAAAACAAGCCAGGACGCTACAAAACACGCCAGGACGCCACAAAACACACCAGGACGCCACAAAACACGCCAGGACGCCACAAAACACGCCAGGACGCCACAAAACACGCCAAGACGCCACAAACACGCCAAACGCCACAAAACACACCAGGACGCTACAAAACACGCCAAGACGCCACAAAACACGCCAAGACGCTACAAAACACGCCAAGACGCCACAAAACACGCCAAGACGCCACAAAACACACCAGGACGCCACAAAACACGCCAAGACGCTACGAAACACACCAAGTCGCCAAAACACGCCAGACGCCACAAAACACACCAAGACGCCACAAAACACGCCAAGACGCCACGAAACACGCCAAGACGCCACAAAACACGCCAAGACAATACGAAACACGCCAAGACGTCAAAACACGCCAAGACGCCACGAAACACGCCAAGACGCCACAAAACACGCCAAGACGCCACGAAACACGCCAAGACGCTACAAAACGCCAAGACGCCACAAAACACACCAAGACGCCACAAACACACCAAGACGCCACAAAACACGCCAAGACGCCACAAAACACACCAAGACGCCACAAAACACGCCAAGACGCCACGAAACACGCCAAGACGCCACAAAACACGCCAAGACGCCACGAAACACGCCAAGACGCCACAAAACACGCCAAGACGCCACGAAACACGCCAAGACGCCACAAAACACGCCAAGACGCCACGAAACACGCCAAGACGCTACAAACACGCCAACGCCACAAAACACACCAAGACGCCACAAACACGCCAAGACGCCACGAAACACACCAAGTCGCCACAAAAACACGCCAAGACGCCAAAACACGCCAAGACGCCACGAAACACACCAAGACGCACAAAACACGCCAAGACGCCACAAAACACGCCAAGACGCCACAAAACACGCCAAGACGCCAAAACACGCCAAGACGCTACAAACACGCCATGACACCACAAAACACGCCAGGACGCCAAAACACGCCAAGACGCCACAAAACACGCCAAGACGCTACAAAACACGCCAAGACGCCACAAAACACGCCAAGACGCCACAAAACACGCCAAGACGCCACAAAACACGCCAGGACACCCAACACGCCAGGACGCCACAAAACACGCGACGCCACAAAACACGCCAAGACGCCACAAACACGCCAAGACGCCACAAAACACGCCAAGACGCCACAAAACACGCCAGGACGCCACAAAACAAGCCAGGACGCCACAAACACGCCAGGACGCCACAAACACACCAGGACGCCACAAAACACACCAGGACGCCACAAAACACGCCAGGACGCCATAAAACACGCCAGGACGCCACAAAACACGCCAAGACGCCACAAAAACACGCCAAGACGCCACAAAACACAAGACGCCACAAACACGCCAAGACGCCACAAACACGCCAAGACGCCACAAAACACGCCAAGACGCCACAAAACGCCAGACGCCACAAAACGCCAAGACGCCACAAACACACCAGGACGCCACAAAACACGCCAAGACGCCACGACACAAGACGCACAAACACGCCAAGACGCCACGAAACACACCAAGTCGCCACAAAACACGCCAAGACGCCACAAAACACGCCAAGACGCCACGAAACACACCAAGACGCCACAAAACACGCCAAGACGCCACAAAACACGCCAAGACGCCGTCACCAAGACGCCAAACACGCCAAGACGCCACAAAACACGCCAGGACGCCACAAAAACACGCCAGACGCCGTCACGACGCCAAAACACGCCAAGACGCCACAAACACGCCAAGACGCCACAAAACACGCCAAGACGTCCACCAAGACGCCACAAACACGCCAAGACGCCAAAACACGCCAAGACGCCACAAAACACGCCAAGACACCACAAAACACGCCAGGACGCCACAAAACACGCCAAGACGCCACAAAACACGCCATGACACCACAAACACGCCAGGACGCCACAAAACACGCCAAGACGCCACAAAACACGCCAAGACGCCACAAAACACGCCAAGACGCCAAACACGCCGTACAAAACACGCCAAGACGCCACAAAACACGCCAGGACACCACAAACAGGACGCGCTACAAAACACGCCAAGACGCCACAAAACACGCCAAGACGCCACAAAACACGCCAAGACGCTACAAACACGCCAAGACGCCACAAAACACGCCAGGACGCCACAAAACAAGCCAGGACGCCACAAAACACGCCAGGACGCCACAAAACACACCAAGGACGCCACAAAACACACCAGGACGCCACAAAACACGCCAGACGCCATAAAACACGCCAGGACGCCACAAACACGCCAAGACGCCAAAACACGCCAAGACGCCACAAAACACACCAGGACGCCACAAAACACGCCAAGACGCTACAAAACACGCCAAGACGCTACAAACACGCCAAGACGCCACAAAACACGCCAAGACGCCACAAAACACGCCAAGACGCCACAAAACACACCAGGACGCCACAAAACACGCCAAGACGCCACGAAACACCAAGACGCCACAAACACGCCAAGACGCTACGAAACACACAGCGCCACAAAACACGCCAAGACGCCACAAAACACGCCAAGACGCCACGAAACACACCAAGACGCCACAAAACACGCCAAGACGCCACAAAACACGCCAAGACGCCACAAAACACGCCAAGACGCCACAAAACACGCCAGACGCCAAAAACACGCCAGGACGCCACAAAACACGCCAGGACGCCACAAACACGCCAGACGCCAAAAACACGCCAAGACGCCACAAACACGCCAAGACGCCACAAAACACAAGACGCTACAAAACACGCCAAGACGCCACAAAACACGCCAAGACGCCACAAAACACGCCAAGACGCCACGAAACACACCTAGACGCCACAAACACACCAAGACGCCACAAAACACACCAGGACGCCACAAAACACACCAGGACGCCACAAAACACCCAGGACGCTACAAAACACACCAGGACGCCACAAACACGCCAGGACGCCACAAAACACACCAGGACGCCAAAAACACCAGGACGCCACAAAACACCAAGACGCTACAAAACACGCCAGGACGCCACAAAACACACCAGGACGCCACAAACACACCAGGACGCCACAAAACACACCAAGACGCCACAAACACACCAGGACGCCACAAACACACCAGGACGCCAAAAACACGCCGACGCCACAAAACACGCCAGGACGCCACAAAACACACCAGGACGCCACAAAACACACCAAGACGCCACAAAACACGCCAGGACGCCACAAAACACACCAAGACGCCACAAAACACGCCAGGACGCCACAAAACACGCCAGGACGCCACAAAACACGCCAGGACGCCACAAAACACACCAGGACGCCACAAAACACGCCAGACGCCACAAAACACACCAGGACGCCACAAAACACACCAAGACGCCACAAAACACACCAAGACGCCACAAAACACACCAGGACGCCACAAACACGCCAAGATACAAAACACACCAAGACGCCACAAAACACACCAGGACGCCACAAAACACACCAGGACGCCACAAAACACACCAGGACGCCACAAACACACCAAGACGCCACAAAACACACCAAGACGCCACAAAACACGCCAAGACGCCACAAACACGCCAAGACGCTACAAACACACCAGACGCTACAAACACGCCAGACGCCACAAAACACACCAGGACGCCACAAAACACACCAAGACGCCACAAAACACACCAAGACGCCACAAAACACACCAAGACGCCACAAAACACGCCAAGACGCCACAAAACACACCAGGACGCCATAAAACACGCCAGGACGCTACAAAACACACCAGGACGCCACAAAACACACCAAGACGCCACAAAACACACCAAGACGCCACAAAACACACCAGGACGCCACAAAACACGCCAAGACGCCACAAACACGCCAAGACGCCACAAACACGCCAGGACGCCACAAAACACGCCAAGACGCCACAAAACACGCCAGGACGCCACAAACACACCAGACGCCACAAAACACACCAAGACGCCACAAAACACGCCAAGACGCCACAAAACACGCCAGGACGCCACAAAACACACCAGGACGCTACAAAACACACCAGGACGCCACAAAACACACCAGACAAAACACACCAAGACGCCACAAACACACCAGGACGCCACAAACACACCAGGACGCCACAAAACACACCAGGACGCCACAAAACACGCCAGGACGCCACAAAACACACCAAGACGCCACAAAACACACCAAGACGCCACAAAACACACCAGGACGCCACAAAACACGCCAAGACGCCACAAAACACACCAGGACGCTACAAAACACACCAGGACGCCACAAAACACACCAAGACGCCAAAACACGCCAGAC